CATAAATATCCACCAAAAAAGGTATATGACATAAATAAAAAATTCAAATTACTTCGTCAATGATATGAAAAAATTAAATAAATTCAACTCTCAAGACAAATACTAAAATTTGAAGTAAAAAGAAAATAAAATAAAAGTTATACAGAGAAACATAAATCAAACACCAAGCAAGCATGAGGATTATTTAAGATACAATTACTTCATACCAATTAAATAAAAACAAGGCAAAAATGATTACATCTCAATTAAATGAATAACAACTTGGACAAAGTAATACTACCAAGGTTGTTATATCCACTAAGAAGGGCTGGTAATTTCAAAGTAATTTTCGAGGTTTTGGAAAAAATTAAAGGGGAAAAGTGGAGTACTAACTATTGAGTCATTTAGTTTTGTTACAAAGATATATAAAAAGTAGTAGAAAAATAAAAATAAAATAATAATTTTCTATCTATTATATAGAAGACCCATAAAGTGGACGATCAATAATATTTTTGTAAATCTAATTTCATTTTAGGGCAAAGCTATAATCATAGCATCAACGGTTAAATGAAATTCTGGAAAGATCTAAAAAAGAAAATTCAAATAATTTTCACCAAAGATAAGAGGTCATTACTATATAAGAAGAGGGAATAACCAACCACCACAAGTCAACATGTGTTCCAATAAGAAGAGGGAATAACCAATATATTTATAAAAAGAAATGACATAAAATGAAATGGAGAGAGTATTAGTTTTTTGAAAAATTGGAAAAAGGACAAAACACATATAAATTAAAAGACATATAAAAAAAAGTTGGTTCGACTCTCAAACATAAAAAGTAACATATGTTATTAAAAACTTTAATAAAAAGTACTATAATTTATAATAAATAATAACTTAAAATATCTACAAGACAACAAAAAAAACACTAATTTTTGTACTGCTTGTGTCACATAAATTAGGATTAGGATGATTTTAACATTTTAATTTTGGTTATACATTATAAAATAGCCGAAAAATTGAATGATATAATTTTTTTAAAATAACCGAATGAATCGTCCTATCGATAACCCTAATGTTTCTTCTACTCTGTTTATTTTTACTTAAATTTAGAAAGATATGCTTCATTTCTACCCTCAATATTATCGCTACATTTATTTGCTATTTAAATTGAAATTAAAAAGACAAATGACAATAAGTTTCTATATTAGCTCACTTATGAGCAAAATATATTATAACAATCTTTACTAATTTTATAACAATACATAAACTATACTCCCTCCGTCCCATATTAGATGGGAACTTCCAACTTTACACAGTGATTAAGAAATTCATTAATACATTGGAAAACTTCACCATTTTGCCCTTTGTTTATATCAATGCACATTGAAATGAGTTACAAAAAATATACATACAATATAGGAATGGTCATATTAATTGTAGGGGTAAAATGGAAAAGAATTAATTAATTCTATCCTAATTGAATAAGTGCTCAAATAATATGAAAAAAATATTTTTAGTAAGATTCTCATCTAATATGGGACGGAGCTGAGAGAGTAACAATATAACTTTATTAATGTTGGGCCCGGCCAGCGCCCAGGCTTTCTTTACTAGTATATATATAAGAGTGTAAAAATAATGTTGATGTGGGCCCTACATTAAATTCATTTTCTCTTTAGAATTTATCATAGTCTCCTTTGTAGCACAAGTAATTCCAACAAATAATTGATTTTATGATTTTTAATGCTATAAAATTGCTAAATTTTGTTATATCTATCGGTGCAATTAATTTTTGAAAATTGACTGTAAAAAGAGATATATAAATTAAAATGAAGAGGGTATTTTTTATTAATACATTTCTAATTAACAAAACATTTATATTACACAAAGTATCAAATGAATAAATATTGTCTTAGATTTAAAACTATATTAAAGATATGTACTACATATCGAGCCTAAATTTTTTTATGTCATGAATATTGATTCAAAATACAGGTTCAACCATTCTACGTTTTGTGTACATATGTGTGCTATTCAATAGTGTTGATAGGACAACAACACTACATGTAAATACTTGCATGTGTCAATAAAAGGTAAAAATATTGAATTAATTTGCATTGCACATTTAATTAATTTACAAAATATCTATTATAATATAGTAAAATAATTTTGATAAAATACTAATAAATATTGAACTAATATTTATCTATTCAGGTAAATGAGATCATATATTTTCATTAAATATATTCATACGTTTCTCTGCAAGAGCAATTTTATTAGAACTTACCTGAAAATAATTGAATTTCATTTTTTAAATAGTTTTTATTTTTATTTCTTTTTCCTTTTGTCTATAATTCCAAAATTTCACATAACACATATCTATAATTCCAAAATTTCACATAACACATAAAATCATAACTTTTTTCTTCATGCTTCTATCATTATGTAAACAATGATATGATTCATCCTAATTTGCATTAAATAGGCCATCACTTTTGTTTGTTAAACACCTATGAAAACGAATTTAAGTATACTCAAAAACTAATCTATATATATATCGGTAGACTTTGTTGCTTTGTATGATTTTATAAATTATAAAAATTGTTAATATATTAACATTTATAATTTTAATCTCTTCGTTTGAATAATTATCAAATACAGTAGAAAAAGAATATCATTAAATTAAATGTTTAATTCGAATGTACATAATGTTGAAATAAAAGCATTGGAGCAAGTGATATTTTATTACTAATTAATAAAACTTAAATAAGTTATAAATTATTGTTTGATTTTATAAAAATAAAAAAGACATTATTATAGAGTGTGGTTTCTATTAGTAGTTCTATTACACTGATGATATTTATTTTTTGAAAAACTAATTAAATACTTGAAATATATTTAAGATTGAAATATTGGACCGTAAATAGACCTTTTATTTTCTAGTAATAGAAAAATGCCAACAAAAAAGAGAAATATAGTAATATAAATTCTTGTCACAAACCTAAAGATATTACATCACTTTATCTCTCTCGGTATATATAGAATTATTATAGATTGTATTTCAGGCACTAAGCACCTGCCTACACTCAGGGGCGGAGCTACAGTGGTGTCAGGGTGTCCAACCGGACACCCTTCGTCGAAAATGATACTGGATGTGTAAGTAAAATGGTACTCTAAATGACAACTTAATATATTTCGGACACTCTGAAAACATGTAGTATGTACAGCCCAGTGGTTCTTGGGGCTGACGAAGTAGCGTGCAGGGGTACTGAAGGGCGGGAGTTCGATTCTCACCAACAGCATTTTTTCTTATGCTATTTTTTATATTTTAAAAAGAAATTTTTTTAGTTATTTTTTAAATCGAAATAATAGTTAATAAATATATTATTAGAAATAATTTAAAATTAATTTCGATTCTCACCAACAGCATTTTTTCTTATGCTATTTTTTATATTTTTAAAAAGAAATTTTTTTAGTTACTTTTTAAATCGAAATAATAGTTAATAAATATATTATTAGAAATAATTTAAAATTAATATTATTTGATAAAATAATCCTTAATTAGATACAACTTAAGAATTTAAGAAAAAAAAAATTAAAAATTTAGCAGCCAATAAGAATTTTAATTGATTTGATTTTTTTTTTAATTAAAATTTTAAATAAAAATTATTTTTTTATTTAATTTAAGTTAATAAACAACCCTGAAATTTTATATAAAATAAAAAAACGCAAAAAAGGCTCGTTTTACTGTCCTCGTTGCTTGAAGCGTAAAAATGATGTCATTCTAAGTTGAATTTTCTCCCTTTTTCTCTTTTTTTTCTTCCGTCTGATCATGTTATATTAAACTAAATATACACATTAAAACTAAATATTATGTAGTTTAACTTTAATTTTTTTTGTACATTTGTTCATTAAGAAATTTAATTATTAATATTATGTAGTTTGATTTTAAAAAATTCAGTACATCCATTCGTCATTTTTTTTAATTGATGTAATTCTTGGACACCCTGCGCAAAATTTCTGGCTACGCCATTGCAGCTACACTCAACCCGAGTTCCACAACTAATTAATCAATTTCCCAAACATGCATTCCATAAATTAGTTTTTTTTTCATCGTTCAAAATAATTTAATTGTTTAAAGTTCAAGATGGATGTTTGAATTTTTTCTTCCATATTTTCTCCTACCTTTAATGAAGTTTGATATTTTCTATGAGATGAATCACACTGCTTACAAAGTTACATTTATGATTTCACAAAGGACAATGGTGGAAAGTATTGTTTAAATTATGTTTTTAGATGTTTTTCTTAATAGGGAAAATTGTATGAAATATCAAACTATTAATTCAAATTAAATGTTATAGCCATAGTTTATTTTAATTGTAATTCGCAACAAACATCCCCTTTTTTTGCCATCTGATTCGGTATACAATTAGCCATTTTCGGTATACAATTAGCCATTTTATACATTTCGGTATAAAATGCATTTGTGTTTGCATAAAAGTGAGAGAAAAGTGTATATACAAATACAAATACATATATTTTCGTCATATACACTTATAATTATACAAATACAGTTCTTATTATACAAATTACAATGTATAAATGAATTTATATAAAATTGAACAATTTGTATAAAATTGGATGTTTGTAGCGAATTATACAAATCAAAAGCTCCATAGCAAACATAAAATTTAGCTATGGAGTGCAATTATGTAAATTATAACTATAACATACAAATAATGATTTTTATGTTTGTTATATGTGAAAGTTGCACTTTATAAGTAGTAGATCATTCACTTTGTTTATGTTAATAGAAATGTGACATACTGAATGAAACATTCAAAAAGACAATGGATGATATTATCCTCTTTTTTTCTTTTTTTTTCTACTCTTCTATTTAATAACCGAAATTCATCTATTTATAAACTCAAACCATTTTAAGCAGCTCAAATTCAACTCAACTCACTTATTTGTTACATACACCTTAAATCATCTCGCTTCTACAAACTAACTAGCAAAATTCAACTATATGCCTCCTCTTCTTCTCTTTCTCTCACTGCCTCAGAAACCGGAGTATTAGTGTGGGAGCCATAGTTCTCCATCACTACCGGTGGGGAACCAGTCACCCCGGGAGATATCGGGTTGACCCATCCATCAATACAAGACCCGCAATTTGTCTCAACCCATCCTTCAAGGTCATAGTAACAACGACCCATTAACCCATGACCCGAACATACCCTACCTATCATTACAGAAATTGCTCCTAGAACAAATATAGCAATTAATATAGCGATTACGGGTCCAACCGACCCGTGATCTCGATGATCCGAATAAGCTTGCTGGTCCACAATCATGGGTGGTGGTAAAGACATTTTGGAGGATACTAAACCAAGAATATGAACATTTTGGTGTTGATGATACTCTTGTTGCCTCTTGGCTAAAATAATGACTACTTGATATTCTTTGGTGGAATTTAATATCAAGAGAAATATAATAAGTTCCTTTGAAAAATCATAAAATATTGTGCGGCCATACAATATACTTTAAATTCTCGTTGTTAAGAGAAATGAATCAACAAATGCATGTCAGGAGGGATGTAATTCTGGAGGTGTTGTTTCTTCTAACTAAATGAACATGTACAATAGTCACTCAATTTCTTGATACGTTTCACTTTCTTAGTAGACTTTTCTAGTATGAATTTGAATTAATTGGATTAGTGATTTTGTGATGTAAATTGGAATAATGAGAAGAAGAAATGGGAAAAGTAGAAAGAGAAGTGGAGTAAGGGGACATGAGATTTATGTACATACTATACATATACATATATATTAAGTCATGCTTGTGTGATAGGACTTGGGAGGTAAAGCTCTAGAAAAGGAACTTTTATACTACTTCCATATATTGTTTTTACTTTGATTTATTTGTCTAGTTTTGACTTGATGTAATGTTTAATAAGTAAAGAAATTTTTTGAAACTAGTGATCTTAAATTAGAAATGTGTATAATGTATCAGAATATCAGTTAATCTTACAGTATTAAACATGTCATATGAAAAATTAGAATTAAAATATTGTCCATAATATATATATATATATATATATATATTGAAACGGACTAAAAAAAATTGGATGGGGTAGGGGGCTGAGCTAGAATGTTGTTTCTTTGATTTATGAGGATTTATTTCTTTATGAGGATCTTATTTTGGTGGATATGAAATCTTGAAATAGCATATAAATAGAGATCTGCTGCCCGGCCCCTAGTGGATTTACATTGACTATATAAAAGAGGTTTTAATCAATTAAATTGCCTAAATATAAGTATATATAGTCCATGGGAGTATCACATGAATTGGTTAATACATAAATTTGGGAGTATTAAATGAATTGAATTAATAAATGAACGACGTATTATTAATCTGTCCAAGGATTACTTGGGATAAGATCTATAAACTGGATCAAAATGGACTAAAACAACACAGTTTAGATAAACGATAACTAATGCATGTCATGTTTAGAAGGATTTTTTAGATATTAATACTCCCTATAACACAACATACACATTGTTGTTATTGTAATAACCATAAAATTTTCAGACATGTCATGATAGAGACTCTTTGACTGTACTAATAATGTAAAACAAAATATACCCTTGTCTAGGGAACCAGTGAAAATAATGTTAATTACTGCTCCCTCTCTCCAACAATATAATACTTGTCCTCTATTGACTTTGTACACTTTTTAAGAAAATATAAATAAAAGAGTCATTTTACTATATGATCCTTTAAATATAATAAATACAATGTCTTGAAAAATATAATAAAGAACTGAATATAATTAATGATAAGGATAAATTAGGAATTAAGTGTAAAATTATCTATTGATTTCATAAAGTCGACAAGTATTATTGGACATTTCAAAATAATATAGTAAACAACTATTATTAGACAGAGGGAGTAAGTATAGTTTGAATATGGGACCCTGACTTTGTTTTTTCTGAGTAAAATTTGATTTTTTGTTTCTGATCCCAAGAATTTTAGTAGCATGTCTCTTGGACCACATAGAAAAATTGGATTAGTTAGTTATCTAATCAGATATAACCACATATTTATATTAACATCCGTATTTCCACAACATCCTCAAAAACATCAATAATAATTTATTTTTCTTTGGTGACTAATTTATTGAAAATAAATGCGATTACTAGCACATCTCGTTATTTATTTTGATTAAATGTCACATTGTGGGGGGGGGGGGGGGGGGGGGTTTGGGGGGGGGGGGGGGGGAGGGGGGTCTACTAGGGTTTGATCCATATTACTACAATTTCAAAGCAGATCAACCTACAATTGCCAGATACATCAAATGCTTTAATCAATGCACCAACAATCAAGTTAGGCGGGGATTAGTTATGTCACAAATAAAAATTCTGAAATTAGTTTTAGTGAATATTTAGTTTGCTATATTAAAAATAATATTCATTGCATAGTTTTTAAAACAAGTTAGTTTATTTATAAAAGTAATCTTCATAAGTGACAAGGATGTAAACAATTATGTATAAAAAGGGTTTGATGGAGATATTTTTGTCATTTTAACTATGGCTTAACATATAAGCGGTATGCCCTTTGAACTTGCACGCTTTTTCCCTTTAGACACACCTCAATAAGGTCATCTTCCTATTGAACACCTAATGAAGCCTCTTATCACTGCCAACTTAAATTCCACCATTAATACAATTATGAACTCTCTATTTGTTCTTTTTATTTTTATTATATAAATTAGGGATAGAGTGAAATTTAAGAGAAAATACCTCTCACGTGCTTTTAATGAGTGCACTGCATTTACTATGCCAGATCAACAATGTGTGTCTAATAGACACACTTTGAGTATACATTAGGTGTTTAATAGGAATTAGGCTTTGTTAAGGTGTCTAAATGGAAAAGGCGTGCAAGTTCAAGGACCTGCTTATGTGTTAAGCCTTTAACTATTTTATCCTGTGATAAATTATCCCACAATTATTATTCACCCAAAAACATATATAATTTATCCTAATACTAATTATTAATCTAAGAATAGGTTGTCCTAAACTTTTTAACTAAACAACATATTAAAGGGTACTAAAAGTTTATCCTAGAATTATCTCCTTTTATCCTGAAAGAGAATCTGAAGCAGGATCGAAAACAGAATAAGATTGAGGAGCGGAAAGCCACTCGGCTCAAGCCGAGGAGCGGTGGTAAAGAAGATGTTCTTGTTCTTCCATTCCCCAAACCCACTTCAGCTTTCAAGATTGGGTTGGTGTTCCGAATGCCAAATGTATTCTTAAGGTATACACTCTCATTGCTGAATTAATCCTTCCGCTACATTGTGAAAAGAAATCCAATTTTTGCATTCAATGAAGCTCAAACTAATGAACAAGATAATTTAATCACTACTTTTAAAAAATAGAAATTAGCGATGAACAAATTATGCAACTAAATTAAAAAAATCTCCCAAACAAATCGGTTTACTATGTTCTTCAAAGGCATTGGTGTACGCAGGATTTTGGAAGCTAGTAATATCGGTTTAACTATCGGAAGTCGTCTTATGAGTTTAGGAATATAAAAGAGACAACATTTGAAATTTTTTGTGTGTATTTCATTCTTTACCAAATGATCTTTATTTTATACTGCTAATATAAATAAAAGGAATGTTACATTCTATAACATACTAGACAACGGTCCTATTTACAATTGGTTGTATTCTACTAACTATATTTTGTTTACAATGCTAATAAGGATAAAAATAGAAAAAAAATATATACTAGGTATACTAAGGGTCTATTTGGCCAAGTGAGATAAAATCATAATATAAATTATATTAGATGAAGTTGAAGTTTTATTTAGACATAAAAATTTAAACTTTTAAATTGTAGTTTTTGTTCATAAACATAAAAATTCCATAAATTGTGAAAATTATCAAAGTTACTCCAATTTTTTTTATAAAATCATACCAAATAAGCAAAAGTATAATACACAATCACAAAGTTATTCTAAAAAATAATAGAACATTTATTGATCGGACTTTAGTTCAATAAAAGAGTAAATTGAACATAAGTTGTAGTGTACTACTCTTTAACATAACCTCCCACATAGACAGACAATCTCCTCATGTCGAGCATGCATTTCTCGATCAGATGACCGAGAAGACAAACCAATATTGTTACTTTGAGTCATTTATTGATCAACACGTTCATATAAATTTTGGTTTAAAGTAATAAATAAATTTGATTGGTGATATTAATTGTTATATCTAATATAAATGGTTTAAAGGTTGGTAAGAGTAATTATATCACTATAAATTTTGTTTACATATAAAATAAAGAGTGAAGTGTCAAAAATACACTTAGGGACTGTTTGGATTGACTTTTATAAGTTAAAAGCCAAAAGTTGGGGGTTTCCAAATTTTGTCTTTTGGTTTTTATTTTTATTTTTTAAAACTTCCCCAAACACTTTCAAAACTAAAAAAATGTTTAAAAGTCAAAAGTCACTAAAAATAAGTTAATTCAAACACCCACTTAAATCATCTTTTTTTATTATTATTATTTTTGAGTTTCATATCTAAACTATTGAGAGTGAGTTCATACCTAAGATTTCACTCATTAATTTGAGAAACTCACATCTCTTTTATTACAATTTCATGATAGTGTGTGTACTACACTCTCTTTTATTTTAAAAAAAAGGCCAAAGTCATGTGCGGCCCCCTAAAGTTGTCCGCATAATTCATTTAAACACCTCAACTAGAGCTAGTACCTATTGAACACCTAAAATATTTAAATTGTGTATCTATTAAGCACAAAATACTGATGTGGCAAAAAACGTGTTCTTCACCTTCCATGAGCGCGTATAGATACCAACAAATGATATTTTCCTCTCTTTTTTTTCCTGAAAAAGTACACTTATTTGCTTTATTATCATTGACATTAATTGTGTCTTCTTCCATGCCACCCACCCCTCCAACTCTCTCTTTCTCTCATCCTCTTCAATTATTTTTCTGTTTTTTCCTCTTTTTTCAGATTTCTAATATTTTGGTGAAGGTCCATTTAATCTGATGAAAGTAAATTGAATCAATTTTTTTCCGATCAAAATTTAATTGTTTCTTGTAACTGTGATAATATTTATTAATCGAAAGAAGATGAAGGCAATGGGTTGGAGGTGTTGCTGATGCCGATGAAAGAGTGAGGAGACGATTGTTTGCATGCCAACGCCGACGGGAAGGGAAACCAGTTGAAGAAGAAGACGACAGGGTGGGGGAGTTAATTAAAAAAAACTATTTTTATTTACTTAAAATTCTTCTTGGATTATTTAAATAGAATTTTTTAAAAATTGAATTCAACTGTCACGT